TCTTGTGCATCATGATAGTAAAGACACGGTGATCTTTAAACCTATATCTATTTAAATGGCATGGAAATTATATTTTAACGATCATATTAAATATATATTTGATATTCTAAATATGAACACCTTTTCTCTTTGTTAGGGCTAAACAATAAGGTTCACAGGAGAATAGAAGTGAGATCAGGAAGATACCAGTTAATGCTTCGTTTTTTGATCCATCACAGCAGAAGCAGCTAGAGAACAGTATCAGGTACCTTTGTGTAGTTTAGTGTTCGTGCTCATCAGCTATTAAGTAGGGAGATTAAACATCATTGAACAGATCATGGACAGTTGCAGATATTTTTAAACTGAAGTGCATGGGGGGCCAGATTTTCAGATGATGTACAATGGTGTTTCTATAATGGTGTCAGTAGGATTATGCTGGTTTCCGCCTTTAGTTGTCCAGAGATCTCCGTGTGGCTTCTTACATGGATACTCAGTCCTCTGATTTGTCCACTAAGCACTTACTTCTGTGGTACAGATTGAACCTCTCTAGTCTGACACTCTCTGGTCTGGCAACATCCGTGGTCTGGCTTGATTTTAGGTAGCCAGATGTGCACTTTTCAGGGTGTGGCCAAGTTTCCCGTGGTCCCATGAAGTTTGTTTACAGCCACAAGCCTCATCTCTGTATTAATTTACCCTAAATGTCTTCTAAGAGCCCAGTAAGCAGTGGAAGTGTTGGTGATGCTAGACAATATGGACCTCCCATGGTCTGGCAAATTCTCTGGCTCCTGAGGAGTGCCAGACTAGAGAGATTCAACCAAAAGGAGCAATACAAGCTTCTGCCTGGTGCTCTAAAGTACGTAAGGCCTAATGTATATGGACTGCCTCGGGGAGGGATTAGGCTTTTTTGTCAAATTCCTGACTGATGCTACCGCCAGTTCAGCTCCACCAGTGGTGGCTATTGTGGGAATGCTACTCCAGAGAGTATATCCATTCAGTCTTTCCACCAATGGAACATGTTAGCAAAGTCTACAATAGCCAATACCAAAGTCTATTTGCTATGTGGAGTCCTGGTAAGACTCGTAACAAAAAGCTAAATGCAGTAATGGGTTTGGGAGTATGCAGTATTTTTCTCTGCAGAAAGCTCTATATTCAGAAGAAACTTGGAAATGGCTTTGGTGATACTGTCAGCAGCCCAGCACCTGCTCAGTTAGATAGACAATCAGATGATGATTGTCCATTCTTGTAGAAGTGATGTTTTACCTGGCACTTGGTTTCTGTTGCAAAGAATCACCAGAATTTTTTTTATTTGAATATTTTACATCTGTTTAATAAAATTCTTGGTAGCTTAACTGTACTGAAGTTAACTTCAAAACTGGAACAAGAGACATGAATTGGTCAAATATATTATATGAAATACTGGAATCAATACAACCACTCTATGTAATCACTTAAAAAGAGTGATGATCAAAGTCTTAAGCTTGATACTTTAACCATAACTTGATTAGAAGGAGATGTCATCTTTAAAAAAAAGTCTTTAAAAATAAGTTAAGCAATTTGGTATTCTTAAAAATAAAATGTCTTGGTAGTGTATGTAATTGTATTTTTAAAAAGCACAATAATCTTCCGTATTTTATTGTTCCCGTGTGTTTTATCATAGATATCCTGGTACCACACAGATTTCGAGGTGGTCCACATGACAATTTTAATCCTGATCCTAGGGTCATATTATTTGATATCAGTGGCCATTAGCAGTAAAAAGGACGATGAATGGCAAATCAGAGATTGCCCCAGTGAGCAGTTAGCCAATGAAACGAGTAGTCATTAGCAAGAGAAACAGAGAGATTTCATATTCTTTTAAATGTGATTAAAAACCCACTCATAGGTTCACTTGGGTGACGTAAAAGGATCCCCTAATCTGCAGTGCCAGTGTATAGAATTATGTTTAGTATTTAATATATGCATGTTAAACTAAATATTTCAACAAGGGGCGCATGCTCCCAAGCACATCCTACGTTTTATCCTCAGTGGTCCTTCCCTGCAACGCCCAGGTGTTAGGTCTTTGCGGAGAGGCAGCTGCAAGCAACTGGGAGCTGCTGCTTTCGATTTTCAGGGAGAGGCAACAGTACAAGCAGTGGCTCTCCCGGCAGTTCCCAGCTCTTCGCTGTTACTGTTCCTTATGACTGCAGCTCCCAGCTTGCTGTCTCTAGCAGCTGCCACACAGAGATGCGGTCTGGGAACACCATGCAACTAAGTGGGACCAGGCAAGAATCTGAGATGGAAGGCACCGGACTCCACTTGTCCCCACCAGGCATTGCCTCTGGCTTGTGCCCAATGGGGAGTAGCGTCTTACAGGTTCAGCCTGCAGGAGATGCTTGCCACGGTGCAGGGTGTAAGCCCTGGCCTCCAGCAGGTACGCTGGCTCTCAGACTTCTGAAGGTTGTTGTATGCGGCGTGGATTTCCTATTTCTGTATCCTGTTCCCCCTTGTCCCCAATGAATCTTTGACATATCAGACTCCTTTAAGGGTATTGGCTTCTCCCAGTTCAATGCTAGTAAACTGCAGCTGCCACTGTACATGGCAGAGGAAGTGACAACCTAGTTAAGTGAAATCTTTTTTTGTTGTGGTTGCAGCCACTCGTTTCTTATTATGTATATGCTGTGTACCCGTACTGGGCTATAATTCCTTGCTTGTGCCTGTGTTCCTCTTGTCTTTGGTTAGCTTCTGAAATGCATTGACATCTACATGGCCCCAAAACTCCCCCCTCCCCTCCCTGAGAGAATAAATTATGGGTCCCCATGAGTAAGATGGGTACTCTTTCCTAAATGGGTGTTCATGAACCGTCTTACAATGAGCCTATTCAGAGTTCCAGTATTTACTTTAATACCGTAAAAGGTGAGATGCCTGAAAACTGAGAGCTGCTGCAGCAATTGCTCAGCATCTTCACTTTCCATCAAACTACTTGATACTCTCATGCAGGTATTTAGAGCTTGAAAACATAGCTGTCCATTGAGGAGTGCGTATTGAGTATTTACTGTGCTGAATTTGATTAATTCTTTACTAAGCTGCTAAGATCTTTTTTTGGTAAACTATTAGTTTTTTAAAGGAAAATGAGATTAATGGAAAGTCAGACTTAGTGATATAAGGAGGCCTGCATTCTTTTATTCATTTACATTTATTTTTTGAATTCTATTAATGATGGACCTCAAAGGATTTTTGGGAGCCAAAGGCTCAACAATCCAGCTAACCAAAAGCTGTTGAGTTACAGTGGATTCCAGTTTTGCAGTGTGATGACCAGATAAATCATTATTTCTCATGCTTTTACTGGTGCCCCTGAGCTATGTGTAATGAAGAAGTATAAAGAAAAAGCTATGTTCCAGCCACTTCTGCTCAGTAATTTGTAGCTATCTTAAAAACTGAATCCATTGTACCTTGCTGAGCAGTTAAGTAATCTCAGCAAATCAAGCAGTTCTCTGTTGATGTAGAGTTGAAGCAATCAAGAAGGGGGAAAAAGGTGGGTGCTAAGTAGCCAGTGTTTAATTTTGTGTCCTTTCCCTGAATTCCATTCATAGCTCTGTTAAGCGTTTCAAAGGATTATTGTTAATTTGCTCACGCTGGCCTCTCTCTTTGTTGGTTGAAGGAGCCACAAAACGTGTGAAATGTTCTTCTATAAGAACACTCATTTCAGTAGTTTACTTTCATAGGAAGTATTTTTTCTAAAGTATTTTTCGGTTTTACTAGTCTGACAAGTTTATGGAGAAAAAGTATAGTTGAGAAATTGTTAAAAGCTAGATAAGGAAGGTTTCTAAGTGGAACTAACCTAAGTTTCAGTACAACGGGAGGAAAAACGAGAGATGCCTTATACCAGTAACATAATACTGTGAGCATATCTTTGCCTGTTGAACTCAGATATGGGTTAATTGGAAGGCATTATGCATAGTGGTTGAGGACTTGTGTGGTTTATGTCAGTAAGATAAGGAGGCTTTCACTTCTAGGAGCAGAGTATAAATCCATCCTGAGGCCTTAAGTGGACCAGGTTTGCTAATCTTGGGTCAGGCCTAGGAACCCTAAATGTAATCTGGCATTATCTGGACTCTGTCATGAGAAACAGCATGGTGCCTGAAATACCTCTCACCAGGGGGGACGGTAATCCCTCGTTCACCCGCAGGTCAGACTTGCAGTCATTCTCCAGGGTAGTAGTGAGGAAACTTGCAATGCAGCTGCATGCCTCATTTAATCTGTGACTGTTGAAGAGATGAGTTTCTGAAGTGCCAGGTCCTGCTCTTCACAAGCACAAGTACTCCATGTTCTTTCAAAATATGTATCGGAAGCCCAGAAATAGTTCTTGTTAGGTAGTTTTGTAGCCTCTACCATTTTATCTCTAACCCAAAATAAGTCTCTAATTCATTTTATCAGTAAATAGTACAGCACTTCTCTCCTAGTTCTCAGAGGTGCCATTATTGTAGTTCTCCTGTCTAACGTGTGTAGTGTTTCAGCACCCTTTCCCTAACTGTGACTTGTGACTACAGAAATACCATTTTCATAATGTTAAATGTTGACTTTTAAGAACAGGGCTTCTCTTGAGGAAAAATAAATTTTCTCTCTGATGTGGTAATGTGAAAATTCAGTGTTGTGTATAACTACCATTTTGTAGACATTTGCATTTCACAAAATTAATATTTTGAAACGCATTTGGATTGTGAACAAAATGTGGCTTTACTTCATAACCTGAAGCTATCAAAATTTTTAACAATCTCTAAGACAGGATTTTCTTAAGCAGCACGTGTGATAGAACCATTGAAATATATGTCTGTCAGACTTATAACTCCTAAAAATATGTATTTGAGTTAGCTATCCTAAATAAATCTCTCACCATGAAACTTTATACATTTGAGCTACATTTGTAATTAATGTATAACATATTATGCTTTTGTGAGAGATTTTAGACATACTATTTTCCACAAGCGAAGCCTTTCTTTGTGTGTTGCTTTTTCTTTTGTGTAATGAGTTACTTTGTGTGACAGGTGGGAGATTCAAGAAAGAGATAGTAGTTGATGGACAAAGCTATCTGCTGCTGATTAGAGATGAAGGGGGCCCTCCGGAGGCACAGGTGAGCATTGTTTTTTGAACTTTGTGAGGCTAGACTAGAGATCATGAAAATGAATAACACGTAATAAAATTATATCTCACTTGCTATAAGAAAGTGCCAAAAAATTAAGACATTAGGATGAGAAAACAAGTTTTCCTAGAAAGTTTGTTAAATGTGTTTAAACATATACATATGATGGATTAAAACTTGCTCATGTAATTCAAAACAGAATACACTGATAGCCCTCCTATGAAGGCAGCCAAACATGTTACTCCTGATGTGACCGCGGTACGTTGCAATCTGTTGAAGTGACGTAACCTAATAGCAAAGCTTTTCTAACAGCAAGATGAAAATGAAGATGTCTTTTGGGAGAGAATTTCTATGCACTTGAATATGTAAAGATGTGTGTAATTTTAAAATTACATATGATTAATTGGTAGTGATGATGTCTGGGGCAGTAGTAAACGCCCTCCGGTGAAAATTGGTTCTTTTGTTGTTATAAAATGGCTAGTTGTAAATTTCACTTGGATAAACGGGAAGAACATAGCCCATATGAAGATATCTGCCATCAAATGCCCAATTCAGGGCTACAAAGTTACTTTACTGGCCAGGTAACTGCACTAAGTTACATTTTTATTAAATTTTCATATTAAAGGAAATGATTGAAGTTTGTGACTAAATCTTTTTGTAATGTTATCATAGCAGAGGTATTCACATTGAAATGTGTTAGAAGTCTCTGCTATTAAATCGTTATCCTTTGTCATTCTACCTTCTCTACTACTTTCACCTTATTTCTTCTTTATAGATAGTGTTGTGAGACTGTTTCTAGCTCTCTGGCCCCTTTGTATTCTTATGCAATTCCTGCTTGGCTGTTGAATGTTTATTTAACCTCTCTTGTCCTGTAAGAAGGCTGCTCTCTACTGCACACAAGATTTGGATATCTACAAAAAGGAGACAGATTGGTTATTTCTCTCTGGTTACTGTACTTGGGGATGATACAAGTTGAAACCATGAAAAGTTGCTATCTTCATGTGCTTGTATGGGCATTAGTACCAATGGTGAAACTGGCTACAGTCAGTGTTTCTGGGGCAATGAAGACCGCTCACCCTCTGCCTTCCCTTACCTGGTTATTAGCAGGATTCCTGAACAGCATTCACTGATGGAGCAGCTTCAGAGAATAAGCAGCAGGAGCTGTGGAGCGGCTCTGTAGCCAAACAGCTGAATGGGGAGTTTCCAGCAACAGCAGCAGCTTCTGTTTCAGTGCCCCACTACTGCCCATTAGCGGATTAAAGCCTTGTGGAAGAAGTTTAGACAAAGGAGAAGAGAAGAGGGTTAGGCAGAGGAATGAAGGAGTCTCAGAGGAGAAGCCCTTAAGAGAAGTTACAAACAAAAGACAAGTTTATAGAGAGGATCTTAATTTTCAATGGTTACTAAATTAAATGCATTTTAACATTGCTAGTTGGCACTTAAGTGCCCTGAAAAGTGAGGGTTTATAATCTAGACTAAACAAAGTAGGAAAATCCATGATAAAGGTGCAGTAAAGGATAATCCCTGTGTTTGGCCTTGCATTTTTTGTGCCAGGTTAATACAAAAACAGTTTGTAAAATGGCTCATTGTAAAGGATAAAATCAGAGTGAAATGTATTCTTTTGGGAAGCTGGTGGTAGTTTGCTTTTCATCCTTTTTAAAGCATGCCAATTGTGAATAAATCGCCATTTTCATCGCTCACCTAACTCAGAACTATTAGTCTCCTGTGATAAAACACAACAATTATGAGGGATTTGGCTCATGGTAGTTGCTGTGGGATGCAGAGCCTTACATTTGTAGGCTTCTGGTGTGATTTTTTTTTTTTTGGCCTCATTTGAGCAAATGTTCCCCTAAAAATTGATGCCTGCGGTGTCATTCAACACAGTGACTGTCTATGAAATTGAACTGCCTCCTCTGTCTAGAGAGCTATTCCCTGTCATAGTGCGATTTGATGCACATTGGTGAGGAAATGAAAGGGAAACTTGAATTTGCCATTGCTAGTGCTGTTTTTTAAAGACTTTAGTTTCCCATGTGGTGGTGTTGCATCGTTATAATGTTAAATTACCTATAACAGTGTGTAAATTATTTGTGTGTGTGTACCTGAATAGAAAGTGATCCTATGGAACTATGTTAAATATTCTCTGTTGGTGTATCTCATAACCGTTAATAGATAGAATACCTTTCCATCATTGTGCACTGGTTTCACGAAAATTTTAATACATTCTTCAAAAACCATTAGTCTCATAAATTATTCTTTAGGAATATCAGTGCTGCAAGGAAAGATTCTAGTCTGAATACAATTGATTCCATGGTCTGAGATTAATTATACATTAAAATCCACCAGCTAGACTTTCACCACAGTTCTTGTACTCCTCTCATGTTTTTCATTAGGCTTCCAGTGCTGACAGCAGTTCAGCTCACCTAACTCACTCATTGACGATGCTTAACGTTTCCTGCCATATATTACGTATTAGCACAATGCGGCATTGGCAAATCCATTGTAAGAGGTTGGCTTATTAAGTCTCTCTTGACGACTGTAAAGCTTTGTATTTGCTCTTTGGGCGCTAAGGACGTTAAATTGTGATTACCTGGCTAATTGTGTAGTCGATAAAGGGGCCCTCCGCAGAGCCACAGTGGGAGCTGGCTGGAGACGGAACTGAGCAGTCCCGGCTCACGCCAGCTCTGGACTTCTGTGCCTCTATTTTAAATGTAGTAAGAGCCGCCGAGCTCTTACCACATTTAAAATGCAGAGGCACAGCGTCACGGACTGGCGAGAGCTGGGACTGCTTGGTCCCGGCTTGCACAGGGTCCAGCAACCCCTGTTTGCGGTGGCCCGGGGTGGCTGTGGACAGAGGCCGCTGCCAGAGCATCCCCTGCCTGCCAGCCGGGGCTGCTGTGAACCAGAAGCTGCTTGGCAGCAACAGCTTCTATCCTCAGGGGGCCCAGCTCCCTGCTGGGATCCCCATCGACAGAGGCTGCTTGGCAGCTGCCTCCCCTATCCTCCCTCCCCTCCGCTGCCTCTGATAGGTTGACAGCACCACGGAGATGGTGCTGGGGGGGAACCGGCTTCTAAGGTGGCTTCCCCCAGCACTGGCTTTTTCCTCCCCCCCCCTGCTGCCTCTCATACTGAGGCAGCAAGTGGGGGTGGGGGAAGCGAGTAGTCAAGAACTCCATTTGACTACCCGGTAAGTATAGGCTTATCGGGTAGTTGAATAGTTGACTGCTTGCTTACATCCCTTTTGGATGTTTTACCACTTGGGTTAAGATATACATATATAGTGAAGTAAATGGTACATAACAAGCTATTTGTAATAATTTAACTTGTATAAATTATTTGAATAGAAATAATGAGATGCAACACCCCTTCATCCTCCGACATACCCTTTGAGTTCCTCTTTTCTCTCTGTGCAGTGAGCCTCAAGGATTCATGTTTTCACCATCTTTTTGCAACCATGAAAGTTAGGAACTTTTAAATGCAAACTGATCTAAACATATGGTCCTAGGCACTGGTGCTTTTAAAAAGTGTGAAACATTGCAAGAGTTAGTGATACTGAAGTAACAATGGGCACATGCCCAGCACACAACATAGATATGTAAACACAAACTACACTAATTATGGGGAGCATAGAGGAGTGTTGTCCAGTGGATAGGGCATTGGACTAGAGATTAGGAAATTTGTTTACTATTCCCTCTCAGACACAGGGCTGTTGGATCACCATAGGCCTCTATTTCCCCATCTGTAAAATAGTGATATTGATCTCCTTTGTAAAGCAGTTTAAGATCTTCTGATGAAGAAGTAGGTGCTATTATTTTTTGCCTTGTCAGCTCTTTGCAGTAGCATCTACTCTTTCTATGTATATACACAATGGGGCCATGACTTGATTGGTTCTGACAGTGTTTGCGTCATAATATTATGATTAATAACTATGGAGGGATAAGGTTGCAGCTGGTTAGCTTTTTATTGATGGAATAGACAGATTTATAAACTCATGTTATTAGTTTAAGAAATTCTCCTCTGGCTAGCTATAACCAAGAGGAATTTGCTGCCATGTTAATTTCATTTAATATTACTAACAATTATTTGTGATCTGGAATTACCCCTCCAGTTACGGTTATTTTAAGCCTTACCTGGGCATGGATGTTCCTCTTTCAGCAGATTTACACCACCAGCAAAAAACAGTTCACTTTCCCCCTACAAAACCTAAGGCATAATCATTTTACTTAAACTTCTATAATCAGGGCACCGGCAAATTTAGATATGTTAATTTCAGTTTTAGAATATCAAGAAATGCAAAATATATTTTGAAATTTTGCTTGGATCTGAAATGTAGTGAGTAAACTTGCAAACCCTTGAGCATAGTATTCTGTTTTGAATGTCCGTGCTAATGCGAGTAGAGAAATCGAAATACAGATATCAACAGGATGAAGGGGAAGGTGACGTAATAGGTGGTTGCACTAACCTTTCACTTCTGGAGTCCTGTTTTCAAATATCCATGCCGTTCACAAGTGCAAAGCTTGGCAAGCTCATTTCATTCCCAGTTTCCATGTAACAAAACCCAGTTACTACTTTGAATATACCCAGAATTTATAGCATACATTTTGTATACCAGACGCTGCCTGGTTGAAGCCAAAATCCCTCACCACCACATGCAAACTCCCTGTAAAATTAAAAAGCAAGTTCAGAGTTATTAGTGTTAATGGTTAGATTTCCCAAATGTAGCATTCTTTCTCCCATCCTCTCAAGTCAGGGTAATTTAATTGCACCATTTGTATTGACTACTGCTCATTGCATTCCCACTGAATCTCTCTTCTTCCTTCCTCCCCTTCTTTTCTCTGTAGTTTGCCATGTGGGTTGATGCTGTTATATTTGTCTTCAGCTTGGAAGATGAAATTAGCTTCCAGACAGTTTACCACTACTACAGCCGTATGGCTAACTATCGTAACACTAGTGAAATCCCAATGGTACTAGTGGGAACCCAGGGTAAGTGCACTTTTGATTATAACATCTCTAAGAAGATACCAGGAATCTTGTTTCTGTCTTTATATTCTGTTATCTTTGGCTAATTACCTGCCTGAAAGTGTCTTTAAAGTGGGAGTTGTGTATTGAAATATTTTAAAGACAAACATACTTCATTTAATCTATTTCCTTTTATGCCAGCCTTTTTTGGGAAATGACTGATATTTCTAGGCACATGGTTGGTAAAATGTAAAACATTCCTGATGTTAACAGAAAATTGCTGTTCTGGGATTAGTGTTCCAAACTCTGTCCAGTCATATCTGTTTTTTTGCTCTGTCAACAAGACTGTTTACATGCTTTGAGTTGAGTACACGCATAAATGTTTGTAGGATCATGATGTAAATTATGATGGGACTCATATTGCTTAAAAGATCCGGCATAAACCAGACCTTTATCTCCTTAAATCACAACCGGAATAAGAGAAACTAAGACTTGGGAATCATTCTGCTATCAGTATTTATGAAAAAATGAAGGTTGTCATATACAAGCCAGACCTCAATCCTCTTTTAAATTTGCTGCATAGTCACTTGTGTTTTATGTCACTTGAAAAGAAACCCCACAATTTTACTTCATCCCAGTTAGGAAAGAAACTGTCCTGCAGGAACAATGCTAGAGCAGCATAGCCTTAGGCTAACAGAGGACTGGAAAGCTTTGGGTGTGTGCAGTTTCAGATCCTATTTTGCTTCAGATCCTTTTATGAAAGATAGCATAGAAGCTTCTTATGCCCTGTTTCCCCCTTCTTCAGTGTTTTCAGCTATGCTTTTAGACTCCCTTTTCCCTGTAGCCTGCAGCCAGGAGAGAAGTTGAGGATGGTTCAATGAAGGTCTAGATCTTCATTGCTTCCTCACCTCGTCTTTCTTTTTGCCAATTAAGACAATGCCTGAGGACAGGTTGACAGTCCAATTGCCTGACTGCAGACTCTATACCAAAGCAGGTCATGGCAAAGCCCAGGAAATAGGGGAAACACGGAGTGTAAAGACTAGTAAAGAGGCCATAAGCCGGAAGCAGGTGACAGATAAAATGGGGAAGTAGATGATACAAAAAAAAATTTGAGGCTGAATAGAAGAAACTGCACTCAGAAATGGAAGTGAATTGCTTAAAGGGACACTATCAAGTTAAACATTTCACAATCTTTTTAACACCTAAGATTACTGCAAGAGACAGGTTTGAGGGGAAGAATATTGTTCAGGTTTTCCTTGCTAGGTGTGTCACTTGTGTGTTTTTCCTTACAATGATGTGGTCATCCTTGGAAGTTTTGTATACGTCTTTCCCAGAACTCCAGGGAGGAGGAGGGGGAATTTTAAAGGTAGTGGGTCTGGGAGGTAGCGAGGCAGGAGCAAAGGGTGATACAGGGCACCATTCTTAGCTATGCATCAAGGTGACAGTGTCCATTTTAATGTGATAGTAGCGATTCTATCTGACGCATTTCTGCTACCAATCCCACTAATTGTAGTTGTTAGATTCTGAAGTGAATCTCCTAAAATGTTAACATCTGTTTCCCTGCTGCTTCTGCTGCCAAAGGTGAATCCTCTTCCCAGTAGGAAAATGGATAGGGGGATAAAAGGGGAATATTCCCTCCCACCCCCCATCTTCTGGTGAAATTCAGGGCCATATTTTCACACACAAATAGCATGTGAAACAAAAAAGATATTTACATAATGCTGCTGATTTTTAGCTGCATTTATTGGGCACGTGCCTTCAGCACCCTCTGCTGGTTTTACAAAGAAAAATCACTAGGCTTGCTTCCACGCAGATGTGTGTTTTTTTTTTTTTTTTTTTTTTTTTTTTTTTTTTTTTTAACCTTTCAGCTGTCAGATAATAATAGATGGCAATATAAAAACCAATATGCTTCATTTGGTACATGTCACATGTGAGATTTAAAATGTATGAAACTTTACCCAAAGTAATATATTTCAGATAGGAATGCCCTGTGTAGTATTGATTCACAGTAATTGGAGTTTATATTCAAGTTAAAATGAGGTTTTTTTCTCTCATGGTAGTCTCGTTGTTTTTTTTACTAAATACGGAGTAGCTTAGACTTGGCTACATTTTCCGATCACTTTTGCAATGCTGTGGTTCTTTGCATTGTTACTCTAAGCTGCCATGGGAATTAGGCAAATTTTATTATTATGTGTGTTGGTCTGAATTGTAATGGGGTGTAGTACTATACATCTTCAAAATACTTTACAGTGTTAACTAGCTTTTATAATGCCCTGACAAGTGGGTAAGTTAAGTCTAAAATCCCTATTACAATAAATTGCAGTTTCAAACAATTTATACAATACAATTATTGATCTGTCATATGTTCCCTGAATAAACTCTTGAAAGGAATATTGTGAAGGGGTTTTTAATTTTAACAGCTCACTAAATCCCCGCCTCAGATCTTCTCATTAGCTGTTTGGGATAACGGCATCTCCCCACTGTGAAATGAATGAGGGGCCATCCTGAAGGTGATAGGTTGCTATGCAGAATTCACAAATGTATATCTAAAAATAAAGGTTTTAGATAACAGGATATTTACCTGTGTTTTCCTGAGAAGAGTCCAAGATGCACCTCTGACCGTTCATTCTGTTGTGCAGTATCTCTAGAGAAACCATTGTCTCTTTGAAAATATGTGATATAGGATCAGAAGAAAAATTGTGGCGGACACATGTCTTAGACAATAAAGAATGTATATAGAAAGTAGCTTGTGATGGATGTGTATTATACACACAAAGGGAAAGGGTTTAAGTTGTACATGGAATCTTAAATTGACATTACCTGGCTTTGCGTATCTTTGTAACCTTTGTCTCCGTGTGAAGTTTCTTGTGTGGATTTGGTTTTAGGGTTGCATTTAAGCGCCTTGTAGGCTCTAGGCATGGGCTGTTCTGTAGATATAAATTGCTGCTGTTGAATACAGGATTTCTTACCATGATAAAAGTGCTAATGCTGTTGCTTTTCTCCCCCTGCACGCTGTTACTGTAGATGCTATAAGTTCAAACAATCCACGGGTTATTGATGATGGCAGAGCAAGGAAGCTATCGAATGATTTGAAGAGATGCACTTACTATGAAACCTGTGCTACTTACGGGCTGAATGTGGAAAGGGTCTTCCAAGACGGTAAGGATGGAATTTTTTTTTCTACTCAGTATCTCAAAGTATACAATAGTCAAATAACTATTCTCCAGATTAATGCCCATTGCCTGCTGCAGAGTTCAGAAGGTTTAATCCTGGCTGGGATTTATTATTTTGGTGGCACCTTGAGTCCCAGGTAGGAATTTCTTGTTATGCTCAGCACTGTGATCTCACACCCAGCATTTTATCTGGCTATCCAGCTGTCTTCAGCTGCTGGGTTCATTAGAACCATACTATCATAAATACATTTGCTATTTCTGCAGGTTGTATTTGTATTTCTTCTGCGGTGGTGTCCCCATGGGTGCTCCACTTGAGGTGTCGGGCTCGTCCCGGCGCCGCAGGTTGGAGAGTCGTCAGCATAAATGCATAAAACAAGTATTCAAATTCTCTCTTGGCACCCACTTAAATGTTAACAGTTGTCAATTTCTCCTACCCCTCAGCATCAGAGAAGGATTGAGTCTTCAGGAGGGAATTAAAAGCGAGGGAGTGTAACTTTATGGACTAGTTTGAGAAGGATGTTGCAAGTCACTAATATAGCATGGAAGAAAAACATTAAATATGTAACTTGACCGACATTTGTTTAGTTGGACTGTTATTCCTGCAATAAGCTCTATTGTGTCCCTGAGGGGCAAATAATGGTTAAATAAAAACAATAAAACAAAAGTGGAGATAACCATTTGCAGTTCCTAAATGTTTTCTGTGTATGAAACAAGTCACTGGGCTCCCTCTAGTGGTAGTTCCACATACTGAAACAAGAGACAGAACTATGTAGCACTTTAAAGACTAACAAGATGGTTTATTGGTGATCAGCTTTTGTGGGCCAGACCCAATATTGATCACCTAATAAACCATCACCTAATAAACCATCTTGTTAGTCTTTAAAGTGCTACATAGTTCTGTCTTTTGTTTCAGCTTCACCAGACTAACACGGCTGCATCTCTATCACAGTTCCACATGCTGTGTGTATTTGAGGCATCTACAAACTTCAACTGCACTCAGTGCCTCACTTCACCCCGTAGCTGTAAACTGGCCACTACAGAAATTATTCTGCTTCTTCAAGAAAATCTTTGAATTAGTTAAACTATTTCCTCCAATTCCTGATCCCTTGCCATGTTGCAGTCCTTGCGTTTTCTCTTCTAAGAGCTACACTTGCTGTAGTTACATGAGATCCCAGCTCATCAATAAGTGTCTAAGGCTACACCACAGACCACCTTTGGTGGCATGTAGTACACGTGTAGCTACCTGCTGCAGGGAACAGCAGGCGGAGTCCATGCTGTGGTGTGTTGCTGTGTGTGTGAGGAAGGGCACTGGCAACCTCTTTTCCCCTGCCAGAGCCTTTCTCAGGGGAGGAGAAAGGCTCCACTCTTGGAGCCTTTCCCTATTGTGGAGTGTTTCTCTGTGGTGAAAACCTCAAGTTGTGGGGAACTGCCTGGGTTTTTCTCCATGGCTTCCCCAATGACAGAGCCTTCCTCTGCGGTGGGGAAAGGCTCCATTAGTGGGGAGACAGCAGCACACTTAAGTGCTAAAAGTCTCTGTGTAGCCAGGAAGGCAGTGCTTGACCAAGTCCCACTCCTTTCAAGTGGATCTTTACTTCCCTAAGCCATTCCTCACTAGCCACAATGCTATTTATAACTCTGGAAGGCCAGATATTTAGGGATGTAGACCACATACCACCCAAAGGGGTGTGTAGTGTAGATTAGCATCGCATGTGCAAAAGTAGTGAGGAAAAATAGACCAAGCAGACTCTCTGCAAGTGAGAGTATTGAAGTGAATTGCTGATGGCTTAAAAATAACCTCTTAATTTGGAATTTGTTCTTAACACTTCAGCTACTACAATTTGTTTGCCATGTTGTTAAAGATGGGTTTAAGGAGAAATCCATTGCGTTCTCTTTGTATTCCCTGTATCAAAGGTTAATGTCTAAGATTTTTCATGTAAGAAACAAAAAAGCTCCATTTCTGGTATGAAATGAACTGCAGTTTATTTGTCATGCTTATACCCTAGGCAACATTTAAAAACAATGATAAGTCCCATGATAAGTCCCATGGCACCTTCAAGACTAACCAAAATATGTAGAATCATAGGCAAGGCCCATGTCATCAGATGAATTGGAGTGGAAATAACAGACACCAAGAAGTACCTGTCAATTGTAGGACCCATGTTAATGAAGCTAATTAAGTCAGCTGGATGTGTCCCACACATGGCTTTTGATGTGGAAATGGCAACATTGTCCTTCCTTATCAACTAGAAAAACTTTTGCAGTGCCATTCCCTCTCATGTCTGATCTAGGGAGACGGGACTTGCAGAATTTTACAGTGATACAACTCCTCCACTTGTGCATACGTGTACTAGATAAGCTGCTGGTTACTTGTGGCGGCCCTTTCCCAGAATGTCAGTGATGCTATGTAGTGAATACAAGGAGTAAATATAGTGTGGGAAAACTCTTAGAATATGTGACGTGATGGTGCATTTTAAACGCTCAATATGCCGAGTGGCATAAAATAGCCTGTGCATGAAGTGCTTTTCAGGTGAGGTCAGCAAGGAAGTGTAGGGCAGCTCCTGTTCCCATTGAAGTCAGTGAGGGTGTTGTCATTGACTTAAAAAAAGAAAAGAAAAAAAAAGAGGTGTCTTTGGGCCAATATGTTCCTTACCTGGACTCTTTTCAATATTAGTAGTAGTAGTATTTATTAATAAAATATAGGACTATATAGCACTTTAAGACTAACAATATGGTTTATTAGGTGATGAGCTTTCGTGGGCCAGACCCACTTCCTCAGATCAAATAGTGGAAGAAAATTGTCACAACCATATATACTAAAGGATACAATTAAAAAAATGAACACATATGAAAAGGACAAATCAAATTTCAGAACAGAAGGGGGATGAGGAGGGGAGGTAAATGTCTGTGAGCTAATAATATTAGAGGTGATAATTGGGGAAGCTAATATCATTAGCTCACAGACATTTACCTTCCCACCCTCCACCCCCAGCTTCCTTCTGTTCTGAAATTTGATTTGTCCTTTTCATATGTGTTCATTTTTTTAATTGTATCCTTTAGTATATATGGTTGTGACAATTTTCTTCCACTATTTGATCTGAGGAAGTGGGTCTGGCCCACGAAAGCTCATCACCTAATAAACCATCTTGTTAGTCTTTAAAGTGCTACATAGTCCTATATTTTGTTTCAGCTATACCAGACTAACACGGCTACATTTCTATAACTATTTATTAATAGTTACTGTTTGTTCAGGGCACTTTACAAAACAGGAAGACCTTATCTTTTGCTTGAAGTCTTAATTTTAGGGACCTCCTATGATGACTATGCATGAAAACAAACAAAACAAACACACAAAAAAAGCAAGGAGAGGATGGGATGTATGAAGGCATACTGTAGGGATAAGATTCCCCAGTACAGGTATGCGAACGTTTTTATGGCTCAATTACCATTTTAAAATCTTATTTAATTAAAATATTTTGACTTGATGCATGTAGCCTTTGTAGAATATTTCTGTTTTTAAGAAAGATTTAATAGTTGTGTAACATAATTGCATACAAAGTTTGAGGTGACCTAATAACTCCTAATAAAGTTGGCTTTCTTCTTCAGTAGAATGTGTCTGTCTGTGGAACAGACAGGCTTTAAAACATGACCTTTTTTGCAAAATCTTCACCAACTATGTACTCTTTATAAAAGTACTGTACACAGTGGGTGTGACTAGACTACAGGGTTTTTCCGAAAAAAGTGGCCTCTCGAAAAAACTTCACCTGTGTCTAGACTGCTGCCACGTTCTTTCAAAATTAAATCGAAAGAACATGGCAGTTTTTTTTGACCGTGGAAAACCTCATTTTATGAGGAACAACGCCTTTTTTTGAAAAATGCTCTTTCAAAAAAAGGCGTTATTGACGCAAACTGTGCTTTTTCGAAAGAGCATTCAGACTGCTTGGGCGCTCTCTTTCAAAAAAGAGTCTTGCTTTTTCGAATGCAGCCTAAGTGCTGTCTTTCGAAAGAGGCTTTTTTAAACTATTTTTTCGAAAAAGCCTCTTTCGAAAGAGGCTTGTAGTATAGACGTATCAGAGGGCATGTAACAAAATTAGTTAATGAAACCATTAATAAGATAAGTTTACAGGTATTAACATTATTTGTAAAATGCACCAACTTCATAAATACTCTTTTTTGGATTTTGTATATAGATTTGTATTAGCTTGTGTGGGGCTGATAGAGGGAATGTAACTTTCTCTATTAAATTTTATATGAACCTTCACAATGGTTGTTTGTTTGTATTAATGTATGTGATCATATTTCATAGACGAATGTGTGTTATCCGGTCACCTATTTTCTTATTCCTCTACTTCTTCTTAGTTGACATTGCTGTCCTATCATTCTGTTTTGGATTTCCCAGTAATGGAGCGTGGTATTGAGCATCGTATAAAGAACAGAAATATAGAATTGGTAGTGTGTGTATATATTTATTTATTTAGCAAGAGCTAGAAACTCCTGTAATAGAATTCAAATATGTTAAAAAATGACCCATTATTTTACATTCACAAATACTTGTGCATACAGCTTACTTCTACTATCAGGAAGTTAATCAAGGCAAATTCTATTATGCAACTTGCAGTTCATCAGAAATTCAAAATTTCCAAATTTGTATCTAATAACCAACCCTAGGTTTCTTTCATCATATCTAGTTGGAATTTAATTTTATTGATAATGGACACTTCTAATAGCTATTTGTTCTCTTCTGTATTTTCTGCCTTGACTGATGTTGATAGATCCTCCTAATTACATTTCGACTGCAAACTTCAGTAAAATGCTGCTTGCTCCTTCATTCAGATATTGTTGAGTAAGACTGGATGGAGAATTGATTTTGCCTTAGCCACCTCCATGCTCTCGCACAGTGTGATCAGTTGCTGTTGATCCATAACCGTTGATGATCTTTTTGCCGCTTTTCAGTCTACTTCCCTGTTCCTGTCAATAAGCTAATTGATT